GCGGGTCCCTTGGCTGACCTTCTGGGTTCCTTCTCTTGGGCTGGAGGGCCCTGGCTGGGAGCCCGAGGGAGGCCAGCCTGAGCTCCAGGGCTCCAGCCTGCTCAGGGCCCCTGCTGGGTTCTCAGCCAAACCCTGGCCCTGGGACGGCAGCAGAGGCCAACGGGGAAGCCCCAGCATGCAAGCCGGATTCCCTCCCTCCCCAGGGGCAAAGCCAGGGCAGGCTGCACTTGGAATGCCTTCTGGGCAGACCCCCTGGCACCAGATGCCAAGGGACAGTAACAAAGGCAGCACTGCCACCCACCCCCCGGAAGAGAGTGGGGTGCCCCTGGAAGCCAGCCTGTGTCTCTCCGTGTTGGTTCCTCCCTCTCCAGCCTTGATCCTGGGGCCGCAAGGACAGAGGCTATCTCCTCTGGTCCCAGAAGCGACAGTTAACAGGGTAGGAGCCCCCAAACTTGCTGGGTTGGCTGGAGGTCTTACCCAGGGTCTCGTTGGGAGTGCCAGCCATGAAGCTCTGAAGCCCATGCCTGCAGAGCAAGGGGGTGGCCTCGACGTCCCTCCCGGAGGTCATCCAGGGTCTAGATGGACAGTTTGGTAGCACAGGCCTGGCCTCCCCCAGTGGCCAACCTGGAATGACCAGGACCAGGCAATGCCTGGGGACATGTTCATGGGAGCTGCCAAGCCCCACTCCAGAGTATGTGTGAGGGTGCTAGGCCCTCGCTGCAGGGTGTGTGTGTGTGTGTGTGTGTGTTGGTGAGCTGAGCTAAGCCTCACTCCAGGGGGGTGTGCTGTCGAGGGGGGGCGTTACAGGCAGGTGTACGCAGCCATGGGGGGCAAGTGACAGGTGATTGGTCCCTCCCACCTGTGTAATTTGATTCACGCCCACATCCCGTGCACGTGGGGTCCCTTCCTCTGGGAAAATGTGGAGACTCCTCCTCTTTCCCCACGTAGCTCACGGCTGAAGCAAGCAGTGGAGGGGGGAGGGGCAGAGAATCTACCGGAAGGAATGCTGAGGAGACCGCAGAAGCACCATTTATGCAAACGCGTCGCACGGGAAGTGAGAAGGGCCCGTTCCTGTCTGGAAGCAAAAAAAAAAAAAAAAGTTGTAAATGAACACAAGGGTATTTTAACGACCTCCAAAATCCCCCTGCTTCAAGATCAAGTGTGTGAGGCGGGCTTCTAGGAGATGTTGTCCCATCTGCTGGCCTTGCACAGAGGGAAGCAAAGCACGAGGGCAGGTGCCTGGTCAGTCTCCTCAGGCCAGCCTCCACGGAGGAGGCAGGCTGGGGTGGTGGAGGCGAGGCCTCCCCGGGGTCTGGGGGAGCTGGCTGTGAGGGGAAGCGTGTCTCTCAGTGTTGGAGGGGAAGGGGGCGACAGGGGGCGGGTGACCAGAGGAAGGGCAGATTTCCACCCAGGCCACCCAGAAGGATGTGGGGCACCGACTCAGTGAAAGTGGCTTCTTGTTGGACGTGGCGAAGGTGGTATTTTTAGATGAGTGGGGCACGGCTGTACGCCCTGCTGGGGGGGTGCCTCACATTTCTCGGAGGTGCCTGGGGTTTCCCGGTCCTGGGAGTCCAGAATGCCCCATCCCGGGAGCCACAGGGAGCACCTGCTGCCTTCCGCCTTCCCTGGCGAGTCAGCCCTTCTGGGAAGCCAGCAGAGGTCACTTCCTCCCGGACACCCCCCAGCTGGACCCCGTTTTACACCCCCGTTCCGTTTTGGGATACTTCTTGGTTTTGGCGTCTGGTTCCCCTTTCCGACAGCGAGCCTCTGAAAGCCCACAGTCTCTCCTGGTCATCTCCTGCAGCATTGCTGCTGGTGCCCCTGAAGTCGGGCCTCAGCGGACACCATCCACAAGGAGCCTGCTGTGAGCAGCGCGCCCTGGAGGTGTTCAGCACAGGGCCTTCTGCAAGACTGGGGCTTCTTTTTGTCCATGTCTACACCCTTGACATGTTGTGTTCCACCCATTGCTTTATTCTCCAGATGGCCAGGGCTGGGACTGGCCGAGGCCGGAAGCTTCTGGAAGTCTCCCATGTAGGTGGCAGGTGCCTAAGCACCTGGGCCATCTGCTGCTGCTTTTCCGACACGTTAGCAGGTTGCTGGATGGAAAACGGAGCAGCTGGGATTTGAACCACCACCCATATAGGATGCTGGTGTGTCAGGCGGCAGAGGTTAACCCACTGACACCATTCTGAGATCTGAGATTTGGAGGGGGGATGTGTGAGAAGGGAGGCCTTCTGGGGGGTTGCTATAAACAAGGGTCATGGATTCTGCTTGCATTGTCCTTGCAACTGTTGCAAAGCTTGGGTTTTCAGAAGGACTAGGATGCGTTTGGGGGGCCTGCCCCCACCCGGTGAGTCTGGGCCCGGGGCCTCTGACTGTGCTCTTGCTTAAGGCTGTGCTGCAATCCCGTGCGCTCCGGAGTGGGAAGTCCAGAGTTCTCCCTGCTTCTGGGAACAGCCCCCCATCCCCCTCCCGGCCCCGCTCCCACAGGCCAGGCCTCCTGACAGTGGGGCCGGCTCACGGAGGATTTCACAAACGCCTGGCCTGTTCCCAGCACAGCTGGGAGGGCTCAGACCGAGGAGGAAGCAGCCCCATCCTCCAGACTGCTGCTCCTCCAGGGCCTTCTCCTCCTTCCGCTGGAGCGCAGGGACAGGGAAGGGCCACACCTGTCCAGGCTTGCCACAGCACCAGCCGTGCCAGTCAGTGGCCGGGTGGGAGCTGGGGGGCCGGCCTCCCTCCTTGCCTCCTTCGCAGCTCTGGCTTTGGCTGGATCCAAGGAGGAAATTCCCTCTTGTTCTTGGAATCACCTGGAAGTGCTGGGCAGGCTCCCAGTTCAGGCTCACGTCTCAGGTTCCCAAGATTGGGCCGGGAATGCTGGGATCAGCAATGTCATCCCATGGTCAGGGGAGGCCAGGCCAACAGCGGGTCCCTGTGCCTTCAGGAGCCCTTGAGGCCATGGGGTCAGTTGCGGACAGCCAACAGGACTTAGCCCAAAGCAGCCTGGGCTCCAAAGGCCTCCATCTCCATCTGGCTTGCCAGGTGTTCCGGGCCCCTCGGGACGAGCTGGACGCCCTGCCAGGGATCGGGCAGGATCCTGACTGCGCCCTGTAGTGGAGACACAGCTCGTGTTTACTTAACTCACATGCTTACTACCTGGAGCCTCGCGCCCTGAGGACAGCAAGGAGGGCTGGGTGACGGAATGAATGAGGCACTAGGAGGGGAGGGGGCGGTGGAGCGCCCAGGATAAACTCCTGCGTTGAGTTGCCGGGTGGCAGAGAGCCCTGGGTTCTCTGGACCAGAAGCCTCCAGCCCCTTCCTCGCTCCTCCCCACCCCCAGCTCGGGGAGGGGCGCCCGGCCGCCTCCCGGCCCAATTTCCTGGCACCGCGCTGAGAATAAACAGCGCCCTTGCGCCTGTAATCCCGTTGCCGGGGCGACGGCGCGGCGGGCGAGGCGTGGCGAGGGCGTGGCCAGCGCGGCCAGCAGCCCGGCCCTCGCGCGCGCGGACATTCCTCGCATAGCTGCGCCGGGGCTCCCGCCGTGGCCGGGAAGTGACTCTTCCTGGCAGAGGGCGGCCTCGCAGCAACGCGCCCGCCCGCTCGGCGTCCGCGGGAGAGCGGGGTGCGGTGGGGTGCCCCCAGACTGTCCATCCCGGGCTCCAGAATCCAGGGAGGCCTGGCCTCTCTCGGGGTGCACAGCCAGCCTCCAGCTGCCGGGACCCCCTCCCTAGCCAGCCGTGCCGAAGGGGAGCGCTCGCTGCTCCGCCCCATCCCTTCTTGGGACGCACGCGTGCTGCCGTGGGATGCAGGGACGGGAGGCAGTGCCACGGGCCCCTGGGCTCAGAGAAGGCCATGCCCGTCTGGGGTGGCCCTAACGAGAGCGGTGGGGCCCTGACACCTGGTAGGCCCGCGGGGGCTAAGCCCCACCTGCGCCCGGTCTCTGGGCAGGTGACCCTACCTGCCCGGATTCCTGCGTAGTCGCCACCACGGCCGCTCACGCTGTGCATCAGTCGGCTCAAGCCCCTTCTCGCTCTGGGAAATTTTCACCGCAGGTCCGGGAAACGGGGAAGCGGGAGGGTGTAGCTGGTGCCTCCCTTTCCTCTGGACACTGCTTATCAGGTGCTAGGGACCGGGAGGAAGGCTCTGGCGTTTGTCTGGGGCCCAGCTGTCCTGGGACTTATAGAAACACAGGGGAGAGCTGGGTCGGGCAGAGTAGGGCCGACCGGGGGCTCCCTTGGTGGTAGAGGTCCCAGCTGGGGGAAATCTAAGGCCTGCGGGTGCCCACGTGTACCCTGGGAGTTGGTAGTTGATGGCTGGGTGAGTCCCCACCCACGGCTCCACTCCTGGGCCAGCCTCCAGCGGCACAGTGCGCACCTGGAAAGCGAACGCCCAGAGGGGGGCATGGCTGGCTGGCCCTTATCCCTCCCCTTTGGGAGGAATGCGTCCTGCCCATTCCCACCTGCTGTGTGTCCCTGGACAATTGCCTTCCTGAGCCCAGGTTCTGCTGGGAGCACCTGCCAAGGCACCAGGTCCCTTCTGGGGAGCGGGCAGCTGAATGGGAGGGTGCCTGCCTGGCAGCATGGCTGAGGGGGTTCGGCCAGGTGACCCAGGTCACTCCTGAGGCTCTCCGTGAGGGGGAACCTGGCTCATGGGCCCTGAGGGCTGGCTGCGCGGAGGCCTGGGAGACAGGACAGGTAACCCACGTGCAAAGGAACCCCTGCTGGCCAAAGCACCCCAGGAGCCGGGTGCTGGGTTCAGCTTGCTGCTCCCCACGGGCCCTCTGAAGCAGATACATGGCATATCATGGTCAGCTGGCAGGAATAATCCTCAGGGTGACGCCTTACTGGTGGGTAACACATGCACACAGGTGCAGTGACCTGAAGGTGGCCTGGGCATCAAGGGGGTACAGGCCTCCCACCCCCACCCGATGCGAGGTGGTGCAGATGCGCAAGCAGGGCAGAGGAGGGAGGAGGGAGCAGGGACAAAGAACGAATGTTCCAGGCTTTTTTTTTTTCCTTAAAAAATAGTGCTCTTTATTATAAATTACTGAAATGTTTCCTTTCTGAATATAAATATAAATATGTGCAAAGTTTGACGGGAGTTTGGGACTGGGTTGAATTCTTCAAGCATTTCCGGTCAGCCTAGATGGCCTCAGTGGGGGAGGGGGAGGGCCGGAGGTGGGATCTTTTACAAAAAAGAGTGATTGAGGCAGATTGTAAACATTATTACAAACAAGAAACCAAAAACAGAGGGTGGGGGGGACCCCAACACCAGCTGCCCCAAGGCAGCCCCAGACCTGACCCAGAAGGCCTGAGGGGCCTGGCTCCCCCCATCTCCCCCAGAGAACAGTCAGCGGATACATTCTGTTAATTTGTCACACTGCTCAGCAGCAGAGCTGCAGGTGCCAGGGGCCCGGACTCTCCCCAGCCCAGCTGGCAAGGAGGGGGAGCTGTGCAGGGCCAGGTGGCTCACACCCTCCCAGGGCTCCCCTGGAAGGCACGGTCCGCACCCCCCACCTGGGTTGGCAGTGGCTGGCTGGGGGCCCCGGGGGGCAGAAGCCCTGGACCTGGTGTGACTTTCTGGTGTGCCAGGCCCCTCCTGGTGAAATGGGGGCAGAGGGTCGTTGGCCCAGCCTGACAGGGCCTGGCGGGGTGGGTCGGGGCAGTGTTCCAGATGGCTCACAGCCCCCCAGCCCACCCCAGTGCCAGGAGGGTGAAGGGGCGACCAGTTGTCCTTCCCCCAAAAGCCATTTCCCCCTTAAAACGGGGGCCGGGGAGGAACAGGGCTCCTGGGCAGCAGGTGGACTTTGGGGCCTGTCCCAAGGGAGAGGGCAAGGGGTGCCAGGTGTGCCCTGCAGGTCGTGCTCTGCCCTTGGCACGGGCAGCACCTCCTCAGGTGCCTCTCTGCCAGTCATTCCCAGGCGCCCCCCCGCCCCTCCCCCGCTCGGCTTTTTGTTTTTTTAAACCAAATCAAAGAGCAAACAAGTTCCTTCGGAAAGTTTGGAAATTCCTCGGCAGTTCCACACTCCTGTGGGCAGCTGGGGGCCGGCGGAGGGATGGAGGGAGAAGCCACGGTGGCCGCTGCGGCCGGCCGCCTGTTGGGGGCCAGGTGGTGGGTGCCCCCTTCCCTCAGAGCCACTCCACGTCCAGACTGCCCTGCGCCAGGATGGATTCTTGTGCTTGTGCCAAGAGGAGAGGGGAGCCAGGTCCCTCTCCCAGCCCCCAGCCCCCCACGGTCCCCTAGAGCGGGGCGTCATACTGGTCCAGGAACTCCCGGATGGGCCCAGGCAGCTGGGTGACTTTCTCGTAGGAGTCCAGGTGGCCGTTGACCGTCTTGCGACAGAGATGCTGCAGTGTGGCCACGGTGGAGGACAGCGGCCGGCTCAGCACCAAGGGGATCTTCTCACCCCCCGAGTAGATGTAATAGGCTCTTCTGGGTGGGCTCCCGGGAGGCGGCGGCTGCGGCTGCTCCGGCTCCTCGGAGGCCTCGGAGCCCGGGGGTTCGGGGCCGGCCGCTGAGTCCGAAGGCGGCGGCGGCGGCGGCGGCATATAGTGGCGCACCAGCTTGAGCACGCAGTCGAAGCGGGGCACGGGCTGCGTGCTGCGGGGGTCGCTCTGCAGCGAGAAGCTGCCCCCTTCGCACTGGATGCGCAGGTTCTTGGTCCCGGACTGGGTCTTGACGCTGAGCGTGAAGAAGTGGCGCTGGTCCGAGCTGTCTCGGATGAGGAAGGTGCCGGCCGGCTCGGCGCTCAGCAGCAGGTTCGCCTCGCCGCCGGTCACGGCGCTCCAGTAGAAGCCGCTCTGCTGCAGCTTGCGCACCGCGTTCACCACCAGCTGGTACTCGCTCTTGGAGCTGAAGGTCTTGAGGCGCAGACTGGCGTCCAGCGGGCGGCTCATCCCGGCGGCGGGAAACTTGCTGTGGGTGACCATGGCGCACGGAGCCAGCGCGGAGCTGAGCGGCGGCGGCGGCGGCTGCTTCACGGCCTCGGCCCGGCGGCCGCTACCGCATCCCGGGGGGCTGCGGGGAGGAGGGCGCACGCCGCGTGAGTGCCCGGAACCCTCCGGCGCCGCGCGCCCGGCCCGCCCCCGGCTCCTCCACCGAGCGCCCGCCCATTCGGGGCACCCCCGGCCTCCGCCGCGACCCGAGCCCGCCCGCCCAGCCCCGCCGCCCAGCCCCTTCCCCAGGCACAGTCGCGAGCCCAACTTGGCTCTCCGGGAGCGCGGCCCCCGAGGCCGGGCACCGGGCACCGGGGCTCGCGGGACGCCGGCGGGCGCCGCGCAGTCCGCTGGAGAAACCCCGGGCGCCCCCAGGATTCCGGGAACCCGGGCGCTCCGGCTTCCATCCGCTCGGCCCCCTCGCCCGCCCGTCCCCTCCCTGCCGGGAACAGCCCGGGAAGGGGAGGGGAAGCCGGGCACGGCTCCCGGGACGGGGCGAGCCCTCCCCCCCGCGGGCCTCCCCACGCCGCGCTCCTCCCGCCTCACCTCCGTCCCGCGGCGAAGTCTCCGGCCTCGGGGCCGCGGCTCGGGCAGCCCCTCCCGGGCGAGGCGAGGCGGCGGCGCCCGGCTGCTGGCGGCCGCCAAGTCGGCCGAGGGGCCCCGGGGCGCGCGTGGCGGAGGCCGGGTCGGGCCGGGGGCTCGAGGCGGGCGGGCCGGGCGGGAGCGGGCGGCGGCGCGGGGCGCGGGGCGCGGGACGCGGGGCGGGAGCCGCGGCCGGGGCCGCGCGCGCCGGTATATAGGCGGCCCGCGCCCCGCCCCCCGGTTCCTGGAACTGCGCGGCCGGCCTTCTTGTAATGTTTAGTCACTACTCGCAGCGCCGGAGGCTGCGCCCGCGCGGGAGGGGCGGCCGGCGGGCGGGTGCGCGGCCAGGCGCGCGCAGACAAAGCGGCCGGCGCTGCTGCCCGGCGCTGCTGCCCGGCGCGTTCCTGGCAGCGGCCCCTCCCCCGGCCGCCCCCGGCCGCCCGGCCACGCGTCCCCGCCCGCTCCCTTCTAAGAAGGCCGGCTTCGGGCGGGGCGGGCGCGCCGCTGCCGTGCGCGGCCCCTTCTAGGAGGCCGGCCGGGAGAGGCTCCCCGAGAAGCCCCGTCGCCTCCTTTTTCCCGGACCCCGCAGAGGGCACCCCCTTCCTCCTCTCCGCCCCCTCCCTCAAAGTCCCGATGGCGGCCCCTGGCCAAGCCAGAGAGGAACCGGGGCGAGACACCGAGTCCGGCGCCCGGCTGGGGGCTGCCAGGGGCGGACCCGAGGTGGTCGCTGGCGGGGGGTGGGGGGTCCCGCGCGCGCCTATTACCTGCGCGGAAGCCCCCCGGAGGGGTGGCAACGGGGCACCTACCCCTCGGGGCTGCGGCCCCTCCGCCGCCTGCAAGGGTTCCGGACCCTCATCTGTTCCCCGCTGTCCACCCCTCCCCCAAAAAAGTGCACTCACGCACGCGCGCGCGCCTGGGTCTCCAGCCTGCGCGTGCCCGGCCAGGTGCTCCCCGAAGCCTCTAGGGGCGCCCGGGCCCCCCACGCCGCGCCTCCGCTAGAGGGCGCCGTGGAGTTTGGGGTCACGCCTGGGGTCCTTGCGGGAGCGGGTCCTGAACTCCCCAGACAGCACCTGGCCCCGCCACCCCTCAGTGGTAACTTGGACATGGTGAAGAATTGATCGGATTTGCGCCTTGGCACAGTGGTGGAAGTGGCCATGGCTTGGAGGGCCAGGACCAGCCTCAGGATAGGAGGGCAGGCTATGCAGCCTGTCCCCCACAGTGGACTCAGGGTGCTAGAAACACACCCGAGGCTTTGTTGAGGGTGGGCAGACTGCCCCCTCTCCCCTGTGGGACACTCAGGCTGTGGGCTTCAGGCTCTGTCCTTTTCCCAGATTATCCCCTGGCAGAGTCTTCAGAAGGGTGAGCTGCTGACCGAGGTGAAGGATGGAGTTCTAGAATGTTCCAGTAGCCCCTCTGCCTGCTCCATTTGGTACCCTGTGCCCCACCTGTGCCTGCAGGGGCTGAGGACCATGTGGTTGGGAGACAGAACCTTTGCCCGTCTCATCTGTGACGCAGGTCATGAACACGGAGCGGGAGGGGTCCCAGCCCCTGTCCCCCACCCCGGTCCTGCTGAGGGAGGGCCGGGGTCTGTGGCCCCTGACCTGCCAGGGCACTGTGCTGCTCCTGCCGGCAGCTTGCGGAGTTAATGGATGGGAGTGTTTTGTGAATGACACGGTGCCTCATTCATCCCTCTCAGGGACTCCATTGAGGGCCTGCCTGGGCAGCTGGTTGGGATTGGGGCTCAGCGTCCAGAGTGCCTTGGGGAGTGGGTGACCTAGTTAGGGGGCGTTGGGGTGGGGGAGATAGAAGGAGGAAGAAACTTCTCTGGAATTCCAGAAATCCCAGCCCAGGTGGAAGCCGGCGCCCACCCATTCCCCAGGGAACGCACTGTGCCTGAAGGAGGGAAGCAGAGTAGGAAACGGGTCTTACGGGGCCCCAGGGAGCAGGGTCATGGCCTGGCCAGCAGAGCCTGCCCCTGCCCGAGTGGGGCAGGTGGGGGGCTCAGAGCAGGGCTGCCAGCCTGGAGGAGGGGGGAGCTTCCTGGGTGCTGAGTCAGCGGACTTGCTTGCTACTGCAGGAGCTGAGCGAGCTGGGGTGACCTCTGTGGTCAGGGCCTTGCAGGTGGGGGGCAGCCGACACCTGCTGAGGAGTCTGTGGTTAGTCAGGCGGTGGCCTGGCGTGGCAGGGGAGTGTCCAGCTGCCCCCAAGCTGCTGCTTCCAGCCCCCATCGCATTCCTCCTGGCTTGGTCATCACTCACTGCTTGCCTGACGAGGGGCCACGTTCCCCTGGCCTGGGGCCTCACGTGGCGGCGTGCCAGGGCCCCGAACTGCCTGCCTGCCTTTGGGCTGCCCTCTGCTTCTGCCTTCGGACTCAGCACGTGCTGGGAGACAACACTGCGGCTTAGCGCTCCATGCCACCCAGCGAGGGCCTCTGGAGGGCCAAGTCCTTAGGGCCCTGCTGCTGCCACGCGAGACCTGGGTGGAATGTCCATCTCCTGCCTGTGGTCTGGGCCAGGGGCAGTGGAGGGTACGCCCGAATCGCTATCCCTCTCTCCCGGACATTCTGCCCTTAAAAAGAAAAGAAGCAAAGCAGAAAGGAAAGAGAAGCTGCCAGGACAGCCCCTTGTGCGTCAGCGGGAATGGTCTGCTGGCCGTCCCGGGGCCGGCCCTCTGGTCTCCTCGTGGCCGGCCTGGCGCTGGACTGCTCCCCACGTCTTTGCACCATTGCCCAGAGCGTGTCTTGAGGAGGCGTCTGGCCCACGCTTTGGGAGGGACACTGCAGGCTGCTTTCTTCCACTTCCGCTTTGCCTTCCTCCCACGGGCTCAGGTGTGGATGGGGCAGCCGCCTGGGTGGCTTGCTGGGGATCCTGATGCCTGCTCACCAGGAGACCAAGGAGGAAGAGCAGGCCAACTCCAGGCCACCTCGGGGTCGACTGGAGGGGGCAGCCTTCTGGCCGAGGCAGACCCTGGGCCCGCGGCTTCCCAGGCCAGGCCCTCCGCCCCGCCTAGCTGTCTTCCCGGATGAGGGATTTAGGAACCTCCTGCCTCTTCCCTAATCTCTGCCGACTTTCTGTGAAGTCAGAATCCCATTTCCAGGCAGAGGCAGTTGGTCATAAAGATAATAGAGATTGCTGCCCGGTGGAGGGGAAGTCCACGGCCGGGCTCCTCTTACTCACTGTGTGTGTGTGTGTGTGTGTGTGTGTGTGTGTGTGTGCGCACATGTGGCACTGGCTGAGTTTGTCCCCAAGCCTCATCGATGGGAAGGAACCTAGGTGCCTTGTGGTGGTCACACAGGAGCCACGGTGTGGCTGAGGACCCAAGCTCCTGCCCTTGCCAGTCCCACAGGTGGACACAAAGGTTCCTCGTGGTCCCTGGCTGCTGGGCACCCAGAGGACTGCCAGTCAGGGCTGCCACATCCCAGCGGCCACCCTCACCTTCCAACCTGGCTGGACCGTCTGCTGCCGTCGGGGTGGTCTGGATTGGGCTGCCCTGCAGCCCGACATTGACTGAGCCCTCTGCCGCTCCTCGGCTGCTCCGTCCCTGGTGTCTGGATGTGGCGAGGGGCGTCCAGGCCGAGGTCAGAGGTCAACTGTCCAGGCTGCACGCATGCCTTCTTGGGGACCACCCGGCTGCACGCACCTCAGCCCCTCCCGCTGAAGGCCTGGGCTGGGGTGACCTTTCCTGCATGGACAGAGAGGTCGGGGTCGCCTGCCAGGCTGCCCCTGGGCGCTCTCCTTCCTGCTGCCACAGTCCCAAGGGGCGGGCCCGGGGACAATGGCCTGCAGCCGGGAAACGGCATTCCAGCTCGTGGCCTTTGTTCCTGGCGGGAGGGGCCCGGAGCTAATGAAAAGGTTTGTGGCTCAGATCGGACAGCTCTGAGGAGGCGGTGGCTGAGGAGTTCTTTCAAGCCCAGCATTCCAGGCCTGGTGGCCTCTGGCATTTCCCAGAAAGCTGACCCGTTACCACCCACCCGCCTCTCAGATTCCCAGCCCCTCACCCCGACTCCGCCAAGCCTTGCGCTGGCCTTGGTGCCGGCCCCTTCCTCCGGGAAGCCCGGAGGGGGTGAGAGGCTGGGGTCCCCAGCGGGAGAGGATGGAGAGGGTGCTGGTGCTGCTGGCTGTGGCTTCACCTTGCACGGCCACCGTGGATCCCTTCCAGTCACCACGGATGTCAAGATGAATTCATTACTTTGAAGGGCAGAGTGGCGGGGAGGGGGGCGAACGGAGAAAAAGCCCTTCGGACTCCTGGGTCAGCATTCCAACGGGCCGGGTCGCTCAGCAGGATCTACCCTCCTGTCTGGCTGCGGTTCCCATGACATTTTTGTCCCCACCTGGAAGGTGTGCCGCGGTGACTGCACTGTAGCTTCAGGATGCCCCGAGAGAGGCCCGCGTGGTGGCACGGCATGGCCAGGCTCCACCGAAACAAGCACTGGTTCTAGCCCCAGCTGCTCCACTTCCTACCCTGCTCCCTGCTTGTGCACCTGGGAAAGCAGCGGAGGCTGCGGCAAGGGCTGGGGCCCCTGCACCCAATGTGGGACACGAGGACTGGGTTCCTCTCTGCTGGTTTTCCTGTAGGTGGAGGAGTGTTGAACCAGTGGATGGCAGATTTCGTTCTCTCTGTAACTTCCTTTCAAATAAATAAATCTTCATGAAAATAAAGAAAAAGAATCACAGTGTTAAAGAATATTGCCTGGGAGATTTCTACCTAGAATTGATCTGGGATTCTGGGGGGGGGGGGGGGGGGCGCGGCTTCGGAGCTCTGGTAGCTTGGGCCTCCACTCTGCTGGGTCCCGGTTGGTCCAGCACCTGTCCAGCTGCTCCTCCCTGCCCTGCCCCAGCTCTGCCTCCTCCCCAGCCCTAAGCTGGATCGCAGCCAGAAGGGCGAGGAGCTTTGCTGGATTACACTTGGGTCTACCCCCCTCCCCGCCCCGGTTGGTTTCAGAAGCCTGGGGCTATATCCAGCCTGGGCCAGGCATCAAGCCCGGGTGTTCTTACCCACCTGTGTGGGCCTGGTCTGGTCCAGCCTGTTTGTGCCAGACC